TCTCTCTTATCTTCCCAGGCTCTGGCTCTGAGACACTCCCTCTCCAAAAAGCAATCACTAGCTGCCAGGACTAAAAGCCAAGGAGGAAATAACCCAAGAACAGACGCCCCCTAAGCCCCACACCTAGAGGCTCCAAACCCTAATCATTACTATTATCCCCATTTGCTAGATTCATCAACCTTTTTTACTCTTAAGTCTCAAGTACCTGCTGCTAGGATACCGTTTTCACTCCCATTTTTGCACTCCTCATTTGTATTGCTTTCTGCTTTCTGGCTGCCCCAGGCTCTTCCTTCTATGTTTTCAATAGACACCCCGATAAACACAACAAATCTCATCCAGGTTCAAATACAATCGCAGCTACCCACAGACTGTGTGTTTTCAGGCAAATCACCTCTGTTCTCTAAACTTCTGATTTCTTCTTTATAAGCTAAAGGTAAGTGTCAGACATTAAGCAGGTGTCCCACACATATAAGCACACTCTCCCTTCCCTTTAGTTAGGGCTAAAACTTAGCTAAATCCACTGCAGGCAATTCGTATTTGGTTACTAGAAGTGACAAAAATTAGTGAAATATGTCTCAGAGCTTCAAATTTTCTACTATCTGGGTAAACAATCTGAAAGTGGTGATAAATACTAATCCAGATAACCCTAAAATTTCTGTGTGCTTTGGAATACGCATTATATGATAGAAAACTCTTCCAGCAGACTTATTCTTCTGATTTTGGTTTTTCATACACTAGGGGAAGTCTGCCTCCCCTAAGCCTATGAAATCAACCAGTGTAGCTTGGTCACAGCAAGAAGGGAAAAAGATGGGATGATTATCCATTCTATGGATCATTCCTAATTCCTCACAAAAGTCAAAAACTGACTGAATTTAATTTTGGAATACACCTGGAGGGAGAATTTGGTACTACCCTGACTACAGATGATTGGGTAATATGACCCAAATCAAATCAACCAAATTCTCACTCCAGGAAAACCAGAATTGAGACTACCATCGTAGTTCAATCTGGACTGATCTCTAAAAGGAAAGAAATAAAAACCAAGGTGTGGGTGGCCATCTTTCACCTACAACAAAGGTTAAGAAGCTAATCCGCAGAGAAATAATGAATCAAGGCCAGGAGCACTGGCTCACGCCTGTAACCCCAGCACTTTGGGAGGCCAAGGCAGGCAGATCAGTTGAGCCCAGGAGTTTGAGACCAGCCTTGGCAACATGGTGAAACTCCATCTCTACTAAAAATACAAAAATTAACCAGTCTCATAATCTGGTCTCAAAATAAATAAATAAATATATTAAACTTTAAAAATAAAATAAATTTTTTTTAAAAATGAATCAAATGTGCAAAGAATAGCTGTGTAGAGATCCCCAACAGATCTCAGGTTCCTGATGCAGGTTCCTTCTGAGGTACCACAGTATATTTATGATGCATTACCATTTAAGGCCAGGCATGGTGGCTCACATCTGTAATCCCAGCACTTCGAGAAGCCAAGGCAGAAGGGCTGCTTGAGCTCAAGAGTTCAAGCCAGCCTGGGCAACATAGTGAGACAACATCTCCATTTATTTAAATAAGAAAAGAAAAAAAAAAAACCATTTAAACTAGCTTGAGCTGGCTTCTAACACTTGCAGCAAATGAAATCTAATCCCCAATCTGCTCTGCCTTCGTATTCCCTCAATAAATAGCAACACCAACCCCCAGCTGCCTGAGACAAAATGCAGTGGGGGTCAACCTTGAATCCTCTCCTTAGTGTAACATCTAATCAATCCTCCAGTCTTACCACTTCCCCTTCCTAAATGTACCTCGATGCTCCAGTTCTCTCCACCCCCTAGTTCATCAACCAGGCCACCAGCCTCTCACATTCTGCCAGTCTTGCTCCCTCCAAGTTTCTCACCACTCTGTGATCAGAGATTTCTTGCCTTTAAGGGGTCTTCACTACCCCCAAATAAGGTAGAAAGACCCTAGCATGGCATCCAAGGCCCATTATCTGGCCTCAGCCTCTCTCTCTCTAGCCCCATTCTCTCAGCACTCCCCACCCTCTCAAATGCTCCAGCCACTGTGCTTAACTCACCTGAGGTTCCCTGAAAGCGTTCTCCCTCTTTGTCCTCCAAGCTTTTATACATTGTTTCCTCTGCTGTGCTGCTCCCACACTACCCTTTCATCAGCCTTATCTCTGCTTAGACATCTCCCCCTAGAGGGCTCCCCAACCTCCCAAGACTGGACTAATGCCCACTAGGTGTACTCCAATGGCACCAGCTTATCGCGGTCCTTCTCTGCCTTTATCTAAAATCTATTTCCTTCTGTTTTCTCCAGTAGATCATAAGCTCCTTTTGGGCTGGGGCTATCATGTTCACTACTGTACATTCTTAGCTCCAGGTACAAAGAAAGAGCTCAATATCAATTGAATGAAATAGCTGAGAGTTAATTACTTCTAATTACTTCTACTTCACCACCAAACTCTAAAGGGAAATTATTTACTTAAGGAAACCTAATTCATTCTTTCAACTGTGTACTAAGAGCCTACTAAGTGTTAAGACATAGAGCTCAGAACTGAAGGGGCTTAGAACTGGAGGGGCACAGCTCTTTTAAAGACAATGGTTGGCTGGCGCGGTGGCTCACGCCTGTAATCCCAGCACTTTGGGAGGCCAAGGTGGTCAGATCACCTGAGGTCAGGAGTTCAAGACCTGCCTGACCAACAAGGAGAAACCCCAGTCTCTACCAAAAATACAAAATTAGCTGGGCGTGGTGGCGCACGCCTGTAATCCCAGGTACTCTACTCGGGAGGCTGAGGCAGGAGAATCGCTTGAACCCTGGAGGTGGAGGTTGCGGTGAGCCGAGATTGTGCCATTGCACTCCAGCCTGGGCAATGAGCGAAACTACATCTCAAAAGATAAATAAAGACAAAGGTTACCCTCACCTGACCATCTTGAACATTCTTAGGCTACCTTTCTGCAGGAATTACGTGTTCCAAGAACAAAAAGACCAACTTGAACAGAACAAAAATGGGAAACTCAACCAGCACGGGCTAGGACTTTAATTAGCCATGTCACTGTTCACTTCAGAAATTTAGTGAATGCTTACAAAGGAGGGAGTGTTAGGAGTCTTCAGAGTTTTCTGCCACCTCAGCCAACCTAAATGGCAGATTCTACATCCTCTCCCAACTTTCTATAATGCTGCCTTCACAGCGCTAGAAATGAGCCTTTCCATGTCCGTGTAGACTGTTTTTATTTGTCTCATTCAGGGATCCTTCCATGTTCCAGGTTAAATCAAAGCCAAGGTAAGTTTCCATGGAGCAATAAAAGGCTTTTTTTTGGATCCTAGACTTAGGATGACAGACTCTCAGGTGTGCAAGAAGCGGGAAATAAAATGGAAGAAAGTGACCAGGCGCGGTGGCTCACACCTGTAATCCCAGCACTTTAGGAGGCCAAGGCGGGTGGATCACGAGGTTGGGAGATCGAGACCATCCTGGCTAACACAGTGAAACCCCGTCTCTAATAAAAATAGAAAAAAATTAGCCGGGTGTGGCCGCAGGCGCTTGTAGTCCCAGCTACTGGGGAGGCTGAGGCAGGAGAATGGAGTGAACCCGGGAGGCGGAGCTTGCAGTGAGCCGAGATGGCGCCACTGCACTCCAGCCTGGGCGACAGAAGGAGACTCTGTCTCAAAAAAAAAAAAAAGGAAGAAAGTTTCCAACAAGATAGGGAGGGAAACTCTGCAACCTCCTTCCATGAAGAATCCATGTTGGAGTTCTTTCACTCATAAAACATCCATGGGAGTATTCAGTATGTGCCAGGCACTGTTGTAAGTACTAGGATTATAGCAGTGAACTTTTTTTGTTAATCCCTGTCTTCATGGAGTTTATATACTAGTGGGAGGATAGATAATGTTAAGTGCAATGGAGAAAAATAAAACAAAGAGCAATGGGGAGAAGGAGGTTATAGGAGGCTGCAATTTAAATAACAGGCTAGGGAAGTCCTCACAGAAAACAGGCCTTTTAGGCCAAGTGAGGTGAGGGAGAGAACATTAGGATATCTGAGGGAAGAAATTTAAGGAACAGCAGGTTCAAAGAATGAAAATGGCTCCTAGGCAGAGCTGGGAGTCTGAAGAAAAGCAAAGGCAATAAATTTCTCTCTGGTAAGTAATTCTAAGCAGTTCCTGCTCCCAGGCTTAATCTCTCCTTTATCTCCAAAGCCCTCACTCCAGAAGAAGCCTTGTATTTTTCCACTGTCACATACAGAAACAGGTAAGACTCGCTGCCTCTTCTAGAAACAGTACCCAAGCATCCTAATTCACCTAGCTTTGACCATGGCTAAATGGTGAAAATGAGGCACAGATCTGAGGTTCAGAGAGACTGAACCTTAATCTTCACTCTGCCCTTTGCCAGGTAAAATCGTGCATGCTGGACACCTGTTTCTCATCTGTAAAACAATAGTATGTTACCTCCCAGAGCTCTGTAATAATTGAAAGAAAGGACCAATGAACGGCAAACGATCTGCACTCAACAAACATTCGATTTCTCCTCTAACTCCCCTCAAAAATAGAATCCAAGATTACTATCATTCTCCTCCAGGCCTGATGTTTTTGAGTTCAGAGGCAAGGAAAAGATTTGTCCCAGATGTTCGGCAAAGGTTCAGGAGCCCTGTCTCCTGTCATTCCTCAGGTGCCAGATTTCATCCTGTTCTCAGTAGGAGGAAAGGGGAAAAAGCCGGACTGAGGTGAAGATGCAGAGGGGGAGCGGATCCAAGTGTCCCTAGGCCTGTCAGTACCAGGTGATGATGACATGTGACCTTCTGCAGGCAAGCCCAGCTTCAGGAAACCCACATGGGCAAACACCCAAACTCCCCGAAGTTGACCAACTTCAGCTCAATTAATCACATTATAAGAGGATTCCAGTGGCCTTGAATCCACGGATGTGTTTGTGGGAAAGAGTTCCGAAATCTCCACATGTCCCTCCTACCGCCGACTCAAACCCGATGGACAGTTTGGGGGTGCCTTCCCCGGATACTCACATCTCCCTTATGCAACTCCGGCGCCGCGATCTTCACGGGCTCTTTCCTCTTCTTTGGCTTGGGAAGCCCCAGCGGGGGGCCGGCACCGCCAATTGGAGGGGGCAGACTGAGGCCAGGGCCTCGGGGCGAGGGCAACCCCAATCCCAGTCCCTCCCCAACTCCCGCCGCTTCAGCCGGGCTCACGCCTGGAGGTGGGGGGAAGCCTCCCAGGCCGAAGGGCAAGGGGGGAGGAGGCTGAAGCCTGGGGTCTGCGGTGGGTGGGGGAAGCAACAGCGGCGGGGGAAACGCTGGGGCCAGCATCTGAGGGGGCGGAGGCAGCAAGGCCGGGCCCTTGGGCGCAGGGAGAGAAGCAAACAAGCCCCCTAAAGCGGGCCCAGATGTAGGGGCCACCGCCTCCTCTTCCTCCGGCTCGGGCTCAGCCTCATCCGGCTCGCTCTCATCGCTGCTGGCGTAAGCAACCAGCGACATGGCGCCTCCCGCGTTTGGGGCGCCCTTGCCGGCAGATGAGGCCTACTTGAGACCGGGGATGCCCGGAGGCCTAGTAGGCCCCGCCACCTGGCGGGGCGGGGAATCGAAAAGTCCGCCTGCTCCGTACTCTAGGGCAAGCCGCGGCAGAAGCTCATGGCTACGGCTGATTTCCACCGAATAAGGCGTCCCTCTTCACTTAAGCTCCTAGTCCCGGGCAACTACACACAGCTAATGGCCGCCGAGTCACTCCGCCTCCTCCTTGCCTCACCAATAGAGGAACTACAACTCCCAGAGAACACTTTGGACACAGCCCGATTCTTTGTCGCAGGGATCTCAGCGCAAGACACGGCGGGAGTTGAAGTCCGAGGAAGGATTTAGGCGAGAGCAGAGAGAGACAGAAGAGAAACCCGCCTCTGACGCAGGGACACTTGGGGTGAGTAGTTTTTTTCGTCCCCTAACAATTCCGAGGTGACTACAAGCCCCACCGGTCACCACGGCAGTCACCGAGCCGGATAAGAGAGCATTTCGGTACTTGAAGTTCCCTAGGGTAGCCCCTTGGCCACTAAGATTTCTGGGAGATGTGGTGCTCTTAGAGACTGCAAGTGATGTCGGGAACGAAAGGGAGTCTGGGAAGCTGGCGGATTAGGGAAAATTGCTTAAAGGGAAAGTGATCTGTAAATGAACTGGTGAAGCTTCCCCGTCGGCTGGGGCTGGGAATTAGAATAAAACATCCCAAAAAGAGCAAGGGCCCAAGGGACCCGTACGAAATTGGGCTGCAAGCCAGAAAGAAGCGAGGCTGCAGGCCTAATAATAAGTATCTAAGATTTGAAATAAATGTGATGTAAGAAGGAGGAGGTGATCTCCCTCACCAGGATTGGGGTGCACATCCAGGAGCACACCTTACCCTGGAGCCTGGGGCCTGGCCTCCCTCTGCAGCAACCAGTGAGACAAAGATGGGCAAGGCCCTGGCAGCCCCGGCCAGGTACTTGAAGTTAATCCCTTCTCAGCTCAGTGGGGTAAAGGGCTACCGTTCTGAGGAATCACTTGAGTCCGTCCTACCTGGGTGTGCCTCCCATCTATCCATTTGCAGGTGTCCTTTGCATTCCTTTACGTCTGTGAGTTTTGTCTCTTATGGCTTTGGGTGTGACCTTGTTACATCTGTCTCTTCCTTTCCATCCATGTTTATAGGTGTCCTTTTCCAGCCCATTTATGTCTGCTTGTAATGATCTGCTGTGCGCCTGTCCTTCCCTGTCCGCTTGTCATTTTGTACCCTTTTCTTGTTTACTCATCTCTGCCCCTTCCTGTCTGCCTGTGACTGAGTGCCCTCTACTTGTCTGCCCTGTATGTGTGTGTCCTTTAAATGCTAATCCATCTCTGTGTGGGCACCATCTCCCTGTTCCCAGATTGCAGAAAATTATATTAAGCAAAGTCAGAGAAAAGGCTGTTGAAGTTTTGGGAGGAGGCTGAAGAGAACATTGGAAAGATTGATGAGGAAGGACAATGATGACCACAATGCAGAGAGATAGTGAAAGGCCCAAGCTTGAATCCTCTTATCAGAGGAGCCAGATATGGGGCCCCTCCTCCCCAGTCTCTCCAGCCTTCAGAGACAAACTCCATGCTGCCTTCTCCATGAAGGCCCCTTAGAGCTATCTCCTCCCTGCTCTGGATGCCAGAGCATTTTTGTGTGTGTATGCACCTGTGCTCAAACTTTAATGTGCATAAGCATCACTAGGAAAGCTTCTGAAAAATATAAATTCCTGAAATCTAGCCTAAGAGATTCCTATTCAGTAGATGTGGGTGGGGCCTGGAAGCCTGGATCTGTAAGAAACTCCTCAGTTGGTTGCAAACCAGGCACTGAGGACCACATTGAGAAACTAGACCAAGTCCTACCTCACAGCTAGTATGCCTTGCACAATGCTGATTTCTAAAACCTGCTTTTAAATCTAGGTTCCCTAACGTACTTTGGTGACTTTGTGCCGTCACTTCTCTTCTCTGAGTCTCACTTTCCTCCTTTGAAAACTGGATAAAGTAGGCCGGGCGTAGTGGCTCACGCTTGTAATCCCAGCACTTTGAGAGGCCAAGGCGGGTGGATCACGAGGTCAGGAGTTCGAGACCAGCCTTGCCAAGATGGTGAAACCCCATCTCTACTAAAAATACAAAAATTAGCCAGGTTCGGTGGCAGGCGCCTGTAAGCCCAGCTACTCGGGAGGCTGAGGCAGGAGAATCACTTGAACCCGGGAGGTGGAGGTTGCAGTGAGCCGAGATGGCACCACTGCACTCCAGCCCAGGCAATAGTGCAAGACTCCGTTCCGTCTCAAAAAAAAAAAAGAGAGAGAGAGAAAAAGAAAGAAAGAAAAATGGATAAAGTAGGTCGGGCATGGCAGCTCATGCCTGTATCCCAGCACTTTGGGAGGCCGAGGCGGGCAGATCTCCTGAGGTTGGGAGTTTGAGACCAAAGTGACCAACAAGGGAGAAGCCCTGTCTCTACTAAAAATACAAAAATTAACCGGGTGCAGTGGTGGGTGCCTGTAATCCCAGCTACTCAGGAGGCTGAGGCAGGAGAATCACTTTGGGAGGTGGAGATTGTGGTGAGCCGAGATCACACCATTGCACTCCAGCCTGGACAACAAGAGCGAAATTCAGTCTCAAAAAAAAAAAAAAAAAAAAAAAGAATGAAGTATTACGGAGCCCTGTCCTTTATGTGAGAAAAGCCTGATATTTAACACACAGTGAAATGATTTAGAGCTAAGAGAAATGATTGTCCTTGTTGTCAACACATCTTGCCAACTTGCAGAGAAGCCCCTAAGGGACAGGGATCTGTCTCAAGTGTTTTCTTTTTTTTTTTTTTCTTTTGGAGATAGAGTCTTGTACTGTCGCCCATGCTGGAGTGCAGTGGCGCAATCTCGGCTCACCGCAACCTCCGCCGCCCAGCTTCAAGCGATTCTTGTGCCTCAGCCTCCCGAGTAGCTGGGATTACAGGTGTGCACCACCATGCCCAGCTAATTTTTGTATTTTTTAGTAGAGATGGGGTTTCACCATGTTGGCCAGGCTGTGTTTAACAAATGTTTTCTAAGCGGGGTCTCCTTACTGTGAAAATTAATGATTCACTTTATTGGGTATAAATCCTCAAAAAGTTGTTTTCAAGCAAGAAATTGATAATAGAAACCTCATGATAGTGAAGGAAAGGGGATTTATTTCTCATTATGTACCATTTTATACCTTTAGAAATTTGTAACTGGGCAAGGCCAGGTGCGGTGTCTCATGCCTGTAAATCCCAGCACTTTGGGAGGCCAAGGTGGGCAGATCACCTGAGGTCAAGAGTTCAGACCAGCCTGCCCAACATGGAGAAACCCCGTCTCTACTAAAAATATAAAAAGTTAGCCGGGTATGGTGGCAGGCACCTGTAATCCCAGCTACTCAGGAGGCTGAGGCAGGAGAATCGCTTGAACCCAGGAGGTGGAGGTTTCAGTGAGCCAAGATCATGCCACTGCATTCCAGCCAAAAACAAAACAAAACAAAACAAAACAAAAAAGAAAGTTTTAACTGCACACAGTGGTTCACGCCTGTAATCCCAGCACTTTAGGAGGCCAAGGTGGGAGAATCCTTTGAGTCTAAGAGTTAGAGACCAGGCGTGGTAAAACCTTGTCTCTACAAAAAAAAAAAAAAAAAAAAGGAAAAAAAAAGCCGGGCATGGGCTTGGTGGTACACACCTGTAGTCTCACCTGGTTGGGGAGGGCTGAAACAGGAGGATCGCTTGAGCCTGGGAGGTTGAGACTGCAGTTTGCAGTGAGCCAAGATCACACCACTGCACTCCAGCCTGGGTGACAGAGCATGACCCTGTCTCAATAAAAATTTTAAAGGATAGAAATTTAGGCCGGGCGCGGTAGCTCATGCCTGTAACCCTAACACTTTGGGAGGCCGAGGCGGGCGGATTGCCTGAGCTCAGGAGTTCGAGACCAGCCTGGGCAACACGGTGAAACCCCATCTCTACTAAAAATACAAAAAAGTTAGCTGGGCGTGGCAGCGTGCGCCTGTAGTCCCAGCTACTTGGGAGGCTAAGGCAGGAAAATTGCTTGAACCTGGGAGGCGGAGGCCGCAGTCAGCCAAGATCACGCCACTGCACTCCAGCCTGGACAACAGAGCAAGCCTCCGTCTCAAAAAGAAAAAAAAAAAAAGAATAGAAATTTGTAACTGATACATCTATGACCCTTTCGAAAGTAATCATAATAAAAGTTTTCCAGTAAAAGAGAATGAAATGAATAAATATATATGTTTCCCTCCTAAAACCCTACTGAAACATCAGTAAAGATTTTTTTGAAAAGGCATTAAAGATCATTTTGAAAAACTTAAACCCACAAAGATGGAGAGTTCAGAAGAGAAGACAACACAGTAACAACATTTTGGAAGGTGGAAAAGAGACGCACCAGAGGTAATTGGGCACATCCAAGAGAGCTGAGAACCAAGGTGGCCTTGGGAAATGCTGAGAATCAATGTTTAGAGTCTGATACCAGGGAGTCCCCCTACAAACTCCCAACCAGATCACCCTGATAGAAAGGTTTTTCTTTTATTTTTTTTGAGACAGAGTTTCACTCGTTGCCCAGGCCGGAGTGCAATGGCGCGGTCTTGGCTCACCACAACCTCCGCCTCCCAGGTTCAAGTGATTCTCCTGCCTCAGCCTCCCGAGTAGCTGGGATTACAGGTATGTGCCACCATCCCCGGCTAATTTTTGGTTTTTCTTTTTTTTTTTTTTTTTTGAGACAGAGTCTTGCTCTGTCGCCCAGGCTGGAGTGCAGTGGCGCGATCTCAGCTCACTGCAAGCTCCGCCTCCCAGGTTCACCATTTTCCTGCCTCAGCCTCCTGAGTAGCTGGAACTACAGGCACCCGCCACCACACTCAGCTAATTTTTTGTATTTTTAGTAGAGACGGGGTTTCACCATGTTAGCCAGGATGGTCTCAAATTTCCTGACCTCGTGATCCGCCCGCCTTGGCCTCCCAAACTGCCAGGATTACAGACATGAGCCACCACGCCCGGCCAATTTTTTGTATTTTTAGTAGAGACGGGGTTTCTCCATGTTGGTCAGGCTGCTCTCGAACTCCCGACCTCAGGTGAGCCGACCACCTCAGCCTCCCAAAGTGCTGGGATTACAGGCGTGAGCCACCGCGCCTGGTCATGATGTAAAGTTTTTAGTATGACAAGCCCCAACCAGGTACTCAGAGGTACAAAGTGGCTTTTCTAGCCCACTTCTGTTATACATGAGCAGGAATCAAGGGTTATATATTGAGGAAAGCCTCCAATAAAAATAATAGAGATAAAACAAACAGGCTACTCTGCCCAGCTAAATTTTTTTATTTTTAGTATAGACAAGGTCTCACTAAAGAGGCTACCAGCTTCTTGACGAGGCTCATCTTGAGCTCCTGAGGTCAAGCAATCCTCCTGCCTCAGCCTCCCAAAATGCTGGGATTACAGGATTACAGGCATGAGCCACCATGCTCGGCCTGTTTTCTTTTTCCTTATATGAAACTGTTGTTCATGTAATTGTTTGTTTTCCTATTGTTTGTCCTTTTCTTTATTGATTTGTAAGAGTT